CCGCTCGTCGGCGGCCTGTCTCCGCCGGGCCGCGGGGAGCGGAGCGGCGGGAACGGCCCAGCGCGGGCTGAAGCCGCGGGGGGCTCCGGCGGCGGCGGCCCGGCCCCGGGGAGAGCCTCCTTCCGGCGGCCCGCACCGCGGCCGGGCCCCGACCGCTCGCTGCCCGGAGCGGCCGTCCCGTTGCCGGGCTGCGCCCCTCGGGCATCTCGGCCGTCCCGCATCGGGAGAGCCCTGCGAGGAGCGGCACGGCAGGCCCTGCGCGGAGCGGCCGGGCGGCCTGCGGTGCTGCCCCGGCGTGGGGTGCCTGCCCTGGGGCTGCGCCGCGGTGCTTTCCCGCGGGCTCTGGCGGCCCCGTGCGCGGACGCCGTCCCGTGCCCCTGCTCCCCTTTAACAGAGTGATGCGCTTCAACCCCGGACGTCGCTGTTGGGGATGGATCGAAGAGCTTAACGCGGGAGGTGTGTCAGGCCCTGCGAGCACCGATGTGCCGGTGGTCTTGGAGCTGTTTGTGGCCCTCGGGCTGAGTGCTGAGCTGCCCCTCCGGGTGGGGATGGAGGTTTCTGGGGTTCCGTGTGCCCCCGGGGCTCCCTGTGAAGTTACCGTGTGTGTGAACAGCAATAGAAAAGAGCCAGAGCTCCCTCGCCCCTGGAAATCACCACTTCAAAGCAGCATTGGAGAGTTGTCAGCCTCCTCAGGCAGTTTGGAAGATTCCTTTTTATTATTTTTAAAAAGCAGCAGTCGCACCTCCTCCTCACACCTCCTCCCGCTGCTGCCACTGAAAATAAACGTGGGGGTGACAATGTCTGTGAGGAAACCCAGCTGTCCTGGACTGACCCCCGGTTTGGGGATGCCTGGCGGGGGTGCCCAGGGGCACATGGCACCCAGAGAAGCCTTCTGCTCCTTGCCTCCTCCATCACACTCATCTTGAACAGCCCCTCACCCAGACACCAGCACCCAGCGGGATCTGTGGTGTCACGGTGTGGGGTTTTCCTTTGCAGGGCTCCAGGCCGTGTGCGTGGGCACCGTGGGGCTGGTGGGGGTGTGCAGTGATGTGTGGCGTCCCCCAATGATAGCGAGCTCTTATCAGCCTGCACCAAAGCATGTTGTGCAAGTAAAGATAACAGGGATGCTGTGTGTGGCAGACAGCCCTGTTTGGACAGGAAAGGCTGGGAGGAGAGCTGGAAGGTGGCTTGTACTCAGTTTGTTGCCATGAGGGCGAAGTCTCAGGGTAGGAGATGTGTGCTGCTGTCTTCCGCTTTGGGTTGTGCGCGCTATTGATATCAATGGGTGCTTGTGGGCATGAGCGGCAATGCTGCGACTCAGGCGGCTTTTGGTGGCTGTTTGTCCTGGTTTGCCCATTACTTGGAGCTCAGAGCCTTCCTATTCCATCATCTCAGGTATCTGCAAGTTAGGTTTAAGTCAGATTTTGGTGCATGTGATCCAGCTGTGACAGGGATGTGGCAGCTTTTGTTGGTGCCCATGGCACGAGGGGTAAAAGCTTGTGAGAACAGAGTGATCAAATGGCAGTGGTCATGGGGAACTTAAAAAAGGCATTACCAAACTGCTCCAAATGATTCCTTGCCCCTGGATTTCCTGCTGAAGGACTGTCAAGCACAGCACGCCGTGGGGCTGCTCCTGCCTTTTCCCTCTGGCTGCTCCTTGGGAGCAGGAGTGGGGCTGCTGTGCTGTGCTGTGCTGAGCTGTGCCTTGTTCAGCCCTGTGGATCTGCGACACTGCAACTCTCAAGTACTACAGAGCAAATCCCCCTTGCCACTACCTCACCTACTGTGGGTGCTTTGCTGGTGTGGACCCTGAGTGGCTGCTGGTGTGAAGACGGCTGCTGCTGGGCTGAGTTCCACGTACAGTCAGGACAGAAGGTCAACCGACAATTTATTTATTCAGCCATTCATTTGGTGTGGTGTAACTTGAGAAACTTGGGATCTGGTCAGTTGAGACACTTTGTTTAAATTTCAAACTGCTTTTTTTTTTTTTAAAGCTTCTTTTGAACATCCATGCTGTTAGCTGTTCCTGACGCACGTATTAACCACCAAAATGCACTGACTTTTCAACTGGAAAATGTTAAAACAAGGCTTCTGATTAACTTCTCATTTTGGGAATGGACTAAGAGGTGCCAGGAGGCCCTGCAGAGCCTTTCCTTGAAACCATCGACCTTTAAAAAAACCCAGAAACTAACGACCCAAGCTGTGGTCGGTGCCAAAGCCGTTGCTGTCCTCCAAGCACTGCCCACTCCAGGGCTCTGTGGTCTGGCTCTGGCAGTGCTGGGGGAGATGTGGTGGTGCCCCCTCCCCGGTGCCTTTGATGCTGGTGAGTGGCAGGTCCATTGTGGCCCCTTTGTGCCCTCCTCAGTTCTCCTAGCCTGCACAAAACCTGCCATGGAAACCAAACCCGGCCGCTGTCCCAGGAAACCTGGAGGTGCAATTAGGAAATGCAAATATGAATGCAAATTCCTTCCCTGCCTTCACCCCGGGGCCACCAGCCAGTGTCCCTGCCTGTGGGCACCAGGAGGAGGATGGGGCACAGGTCTGGGGGTAGTGCTGGTAGCCGTGGGGCACCTCGGGCTCTACTCCCCTTTCCTCAAGGCTTCCCCAGCATCTTGGGGGAAGAATGGGGCATTTCAGCAGCTGGGAGCAGTGACTCATAGGTGACAATGTGATATTGATTTTTTTTTTTTTCCATCCTCTCTTGGTTGCCCAGCGACAAACAAACAAACAAGTGTCTTAAAATCCAAGCCAGCAGGAAGGGTGAAGCCCTGGTGGCTTCCCAGTGCCGTGCTGCCATGTCCGTGCTGCAGGCAGGATGCATGGGCAGGGTGCTGTGCGGAGCTGCTGCTCCCACCTAGGCTGCTCCATAGCCTGTCATGCTGCTGGGCTGGGAGCTGCTGGGGCACCGTGGAGGTTTTGGCATCTGTGGGACTGACCCTGGGAGCTGCCCTCGTTGGCATTGGTGACAGTCCCACAGTGTGTTCGGCTGCGAATGGCACTGCTCTCCTGTCTGGCTCCAGACAGGGTGGATTTTGTCGACATCTGGAGGTATTTTACACAAATGGAGCTGCTTCCTTTGCCCTGAAGGAGTTCACCCAGCACTTTGCCCCATGGGTGCCTGACTGCACTCCCATGTCTCTCCGACACCCTGTGCTTCCCCCCAGCCCTGTTCCATTGAATTGCTGGAAAATGAGCTCCAGATCCTGGAGGTGGCATTTCTTCCTTCTCCTGACATCTCGTCCATCCCTCCCCTCGCCCATTCTTGGGGCAGTAGTAGGGTAGTGAGGGAAAAAGAGTGGATTGTCTACAGAAAATGGAGCAGGGCACACCTGCGGCTCACTTTCTCTGATGTTCCAACCCTGACCTGATCTTAGTGTTTGACTCAGCTACAGAGCCCTTTCTAACAGTGTTTTTTCTCTCCCTCTCTGTTTCCAGGCGGCAGTGGAGCTCTGGCACGAGGACAGCGTGTGCAGGAGGTCCGGAGCTCAGCGGGAGTGCTGCAAGGTACCGGAGTGGGGTCTTGCTGGAGGGGCTGGGACATGGGGACATCCCATGGGGACAAGTCCAGGCTCCCTGTGCTTGGGAAGGAATGAGAGTGGTGTTGGAGAGGGGATGTGGAGCTCTGGGGTGCTGTGAGGGCTTACAGCTCTGCTGGGGGCAGACAGACGGACGGCACAGCTGCAGCGCCACGCTAATCCTCTTGTGCTGATGGAGTGTTCTAGCTTGTCCTAAACCACTGCTTATAAAATCCTCGCTACTTTTAGCTTCGCTGGCTGATAACTGCAGCTGTCAGATGAGCCCAAAGCAACTGGGACAGCGCAGTGACGGAGCTATGCGTGAATTAATTATGCAAACTTAAAAATAACAAAGTAGAAGTGAGACTGGGCTTGGAAGAGGAGCGCGCCCTAGTTTGGTGGCTTGGCAGAGCGTGCTGCTGGAGCACACGGCCCGTGTGCCACTGGCAGCTGGATCTGAGCAACCCTCAGGGCGCTGTCCTGGCTTCTGGATCCGTATCATTCCTGTGTCAAATCCGATGTACTGCAGTGGAGCAGAAGCAGTGCAGCGAACATGATCTTGTGGCTTTCAAAGGCTTTTATCTCCCCCTCCTGCAGACACAGTGTGCTGGAGGGTCCTTGGGAAACCTTCCTGGTGTTCTTGCAGGGGAGGGCAGCCATGTCAGTAATTAGCCGTCGGTCCCAGGTGAGGTGTAGTATTCCAGGCAGGTTCTCCTCTGTTGAGCAGTGTCACCCGGCACAAGGGAAGACAGAACAGCACAGTTATGCTGTGACGCCGTGTCCCAGCACAACAAGGGCACAGCAGTGCCCAGATTGTCAGCTCGGTGCTTTTGCAGGGCTTCCACTGGTCGTATGGCTTAGTGACTCATAAACCCAGGAGCTCCTGCTTGCTGCTTAATTAATCCTTTCTGCCTGCAGTGCTCTGCTCTGGGACAGGGCTCTGAGCTGCCCTCAAGCTGCAGCAGTGGGTTTCATCCACCCTATGTCTGCCCTCTTCGGTGGCCGTGATCTCGTGACCTGACCGAGGTGGCTGCGAGCAGCCTGCGTAATGACCGCTTCTAAATCTTTGTACCAGATCCTAATGGACAAGGGCCTGTCCTGGTAAATAATTTACCGTGCCCATGAGTGAGAGTTTCACTCCACTCATTTTGTTTCCATAGAAACTTCTGCGCTCCTTCTGCTCCACGCAGCCTTCGGCGAATCAATACCCATTTTTGTTCCTTTGCGCATTGAGTGATGGCCCTTAGATCTCGGGGACCGGAGGCCCTGCGGCACCGCGGTGTCATGGAGCTGGCACTGGTCAGGCCCTGAGTGCCTGCCTGCCCCAAACCGTTGTTTTTCTTCCCGCTGAGCTCCTGTGCGAGCCTGGAAGCAGTGAGGTGCAGACTGACAAAACCTGCTCCCAAACTGCCACAGCTGAGCACCTTTGTCTCTGCAAGAATTTATCTTTCCTTTGCTCTCTGCAGTTGTCCCCACTGCTTTTGTGCAAGGGTTTGTGCTGAGCCAGGAGCACAAAGGGAGGGATAAGTGGCTGAGGACGGGGCTGTGCGCCATATGGCGTGAGGGCTCTGCAGGATGGGACTGCCTGCAGTGCAGTGTTGGCACCAGCAGTTTGTCCATGAGCAGCCCCAGAGCGCTGCAGGGCTGGCTGGCACCTTGTGCTGCTTGCAGATGGGTAAACTGAGGCAAGTGGAGGGCTGGAAAGGGGCTCTGAGCTTGAGCTTGGCTCTGGCACCTCTGCATGTGTGTGATCCAGGGGGATGCCGGCACTGGTCACAGTGCTCGGATAGCGCAGGAGCAGCTGAGGTCACCAATGCTTGTGCAGTAAAGCAAACTAGCAATGCAGCTTAGAGCAGCGCTGACCCAGGGCATGTCCCTGCATGGCCGCCCGCCCGCCTGCTGCCACCTTTAAGCCCGGCCCCAGCACACGCCGATCTCCCAGCTGGGACCAATGCATTTTGATGTCAGCAGTGAAAGCTGGAGGAGGAAAGGTCACAGCAGCTCAGCCAACCCCACAGGAAAACCTTCTATCTGCCCCTCTGCTTTCGGCAGCCTCTTGCTTCTAATTTATGACACGTTGACACCAGACAGATTTGAACAGAGATGTGTTTAACCCATAAGGAGGGATACAGGGTTACTTTCATTGCTCACACTTGCTTGACCTATTTTTCTTTAATCCCTTCCTGGAAACCTGATTTCATGTTCGAATTCCCTCAACTATTTTAGGAATGTCGGCCTACCAAGATCAAATTACCTCCAATGAATCCGGTGCAAGGCAGCCTCACCAGGCAGGCAGGTTTTTGATTAAGATCTGGCACTAGCTCATTAATACAAGCCTCATTTGGAAGGGTGGGGGCTGTAATTGTAGCATGGCAAATGCACACAAAATCTGGGATTAGCCACAGGGAAACCCCGATGTGGGACTCTGGCACCTCAAGGAGGGCACTGGAGCTGCTGGACGAGTGCCCATGTCCAAACCCACCTGTGTCCTCAGCAGGGTTGTCACAGTGTGTCCGTGCCACAGGCAGACCCTCAAATGCAGCTCATATTCCTGCCTGTTTCTGTGTGAAAGGATCAGAGCACAGGCACAGACCTGGAGGTGAGTGTGTGGCTGCTGGAGAGAACAGAAAGGTGACGGAGGAGATTTTGGAGACTTAAGGCAGACACATCCTGCACGTCCCCGGGGTGTGCTCTGAATTTCAATGTGCTGGTACACACTAATTTTTGTTCCTAATCATTTCCTTTTCATCCTGGTTTTAATCCTATTACAGTCAGTGCTGGGCAGACACCTCCACCACCAAGCAGTCCCTGAGCTCTGAGATCCGTTGCAGCATAGTCTCTTTGAGGGGCCTGGCTGAAGACAGAGCCCTGGGGCTGAAGCAGTGATTTTTGGCTTAATGCCTCCACTTTGAGTCTTACTCTGAGAGTTTTCCCTCCCAAGCTCTGAGTGGGGACAGCCTACGAACACAGCATGGCAATAGCAGGAGAAAAGGGGCTGTTCCTGTTCAGCTGCCTTTAAACAACCCCATCTGTTGTCTGAGCCACAGCAGACATTGGGAAAGAACATTCCTCTTCCATTGGTGCCAAGGCTTTTCCCTGAGCTGTAAGGGCTGGGAGCAGTCGGTCCCGCTGCTGTTACAGCTGTTGGCTCCTTCACCAGGACTGCTTTCAGCAGAGCTGAACAACTGCTGTTCCCAGCATGGAGCTGTGAGTGCCCGGCCCCTGGGATCACCCGGCTGTGCCGGCCCTGTGCCTGGAGCAGCGTGGCTGTGGGTGCTGTGGGCACTCTGTGGGCACGACCGTCTGCGTGCTGCGCCTGCAGCCTACAGAGGTGAGCCTGCAGACAGCAGCCCACGCCACAGGTCGGTTCTGCAAGGTTTTGGGCTCTGCCCTCGCCTCAGGTCACGGTTGGCTGCCAGCTTTCTTCCTTCCTTTTTGGGCAATCCAAGGGATTTTGCTTTTCTTGGCACCCTCCCAGCCCTTCGCTGGCATCGAAGCAGCAACCAGCAGTGGGGATTCTGCTTCCCACTCTGAGCACAGGGACAGAGGAGGATCCTGGGCATGGAACTTCTTAGTTGAGTCGTGCTAATAGGTGACCAGCTTTTCTCCAGATTTTAACTCGTGATGATGTAGTGCTTTTCATTTCTCCACATCATCAGCAGGATGTCTTCACGGTGCAGTCCCTCGGTGTTGCTCAGAGCCAGACGTGCAGCAGAGCCTTTTTGGTGTTCAAATGTCACCATCCCTCATTTTTTTTCATCTTAGGACCAGAAGCTTTCAATTATTCTGCAGGCAGCTGCTCCCAGTCACGCTATCTGGCGTGGGTTCAATGTAACTGAGTTGCCCAGAGCCTCATAACTGCTCCCAACATGCCAGAGCAAAGCCTGACCGACAGGGCTGGGATGAGGCGCTTCCTGGTGATCCCCAGGGCTGGGCTCCCACGTGCAGCACGGCCCTGCACAGGGTGTGGGGCACCGGGTGACCTTCAGAGGCAGCCGCTCTGCTTAATGGGTTTCAATCTGATTATGCAGTGTGTTACTAAGAAATTTGCTTGGTTTGTTCTTCTCAATTAAATACAAATGTAGGGACAGTTATCTTGAACTCTCCGCCTGCTACTTGGGAAAAAGCCTTTGAAAATGATATTGTGGATCAAAAGTGTTCCTGGGGTAATTCTTTTTAAACGGCAGAGTTAATCCAGAACTGAATTTGTCCCTGCATTTCCAAATGAGAGGCAGTAGCTGTATATAATCTGTTTATGGTTTTAAAGCGAATGTTAATCTTGGATTTGGTGGCTTTTCCCAAGGGTCGATTTGCTGTGCTGCAAAATGCTTTAGCCCCCTGCACTGAGATGACTCCACCTTTTATTTTAAAGAGGGATTTCACCGTGTTTATAAACAAACGTCAAACCTGGGAATGTTCAATCTGTGGGGCCCTCTGCAGTGCAAGTGGTGCTATTTTTCTCCCCGTGCAGTGTTTGGTTTGTGCGGCGCCTGGCACAGTGACCCGAGCTCCTGGATGCCCTCCTGGGGGACGTGCCGTGCAAATGGGGGTGCAGTTGAATAGTTTGAGTTGAATTGAATTTCCCCCTCTGAGATCTTGCTGTGCCCTAGGTGCTTTCTCCACACCGACAGTGCCCTCGTGCAGCCCCTGCCTGCAGCTTCCTGGCCATGCGCTGGGGCTGAGCAAGTAGGGCAGAACCACAAAAGGACAAGACTGTAAATCCCACTCCTCACTCCAACAAAGCAAAAAATACCACAAGGAGGGTTTCTGAGGTGGGCTTCATATGAAGGTGGCTGCCAAAAATGTGCCTCGTGCTTCAGTCCAGCTGCTGGTCCTGGCTCTGGGGAGCTCAAAGCCACCCCCACTCCTGGGGCCCCGCGTCTCACCAGAGGTAACTTTGTGACATCTCTCTGTGCCCGCAGGTGCTGGGATGCTGCAGCGTGCTGGGGGCTGACGCGTGGAGCTCTGGCTGTGGGGAGCAGTGCCCCCGCCGCCCACCCATGCTCCCGGCCGGCAGCCGGGGCCTTGCCCCGTGACGAGGTGCCCCCCTCACCAGGACCGCCGCCATGACGAGCCTCTTTCGGCGCAGCAGCAGCAATGGCGGCTCACGCGGCGGCTCCTCGGCGCAGGAGCTCAACAACAGCCGCCCTGCCAGGCAGGTGCGCCGGCTGGAGTTCAACCAGGCCATGGAGGACTTCAAGACCATGTTCCCCAATATGGACTACGACATCATCGAGTGCGTTTTGAGGGCCAACAACGGTGCCGTGGATGCCACCATCGACCAGCTCCTCCAGATGAACCTGGATGGCAGCGGCTGTGAGGACAGCTCGGACTCGGAGGACAGCATTCCCCCTGAGGTACTGCTGTGTCTGGCCTGGGCTCATTCTGTCTCATTTCTGCCTCCTGCATGACTGGGTGTAAGGGAAGGACAGTGGAGCCGGTGTCTTTGCAGGCCTGCAGCTGCACTTTGTGGCTGATGTGGGTGCCTCTTGACAACCATTTGAATGCTGACTTGGCCACTTTGTAGCATGCAGCCTGGCAGTTGGCCTCTGTCAGTGCTTGAGGCTTGAGTCAAACCACTCTCCTCCCTCCTTTCTTCCCCAAAACCAATAGAAGGTCTTTAGCTCTTGCCTCACTATGCCAAAATGCAGTGCCTCTTCCCTACAGAACAGTGCCCCAAATCTGCCCAGTGCATGTCGGCCCCATCCTGCCTGCAGCACTGCTCAGCTCACCCTCACCCTCTCCTCCTCTCTCCCCAGATCCTTGAGCGCACCCTGGAGCCAGACAGCTCGGATGAGGAGCCTCCCCCAGTATACTCCCCCCCAGCCTATGAGAGCCAGGTGCTGAGCTGTCCACATGCACCTCCCACCCCCCCACCCAGGTGAGTCTGCTGCGTGTGCATTAGTACGAAGTCAAGGGAGATGAAGGAAGCTCGCAGCTGGATAAAAAATGGCCCTAAAACATGAATAGCTGAGGGGGCAAGAGGGCTGCCCATGAAGCAAGTAGAATGGCAAAAATCAGCTTCTGGATGCAGGAGTGCTTGCTGCCTCTGGAGAACACCAGGTACTGCGTGGCTGGGACCTGACACCTCTTATCTCTTGGCACCAGGAGCCCTCGTGCCTGTGGCAGGGAAGGGCTGTGGGTTTGTAGGATAGCTAGGCACAGTGAGATTTTCCAGCCTCTGGACAACACCTGGGGAGCTGGGCAGGTGGCTGCTGACACGGGTCCCTGTCAGCAGCGTTTGAGTTCCCTCTGGCTGAAGTCTCTGGCTGTGCTCACGGCAGGACGGATGTGCCGGGGCCTGGCCGCTACAGGAACTGGAACCCACCGCTGCTGGGCAACCTGCCTGAGGACTTCCTGCGCATCCTACCCCAGCAAGCTGCCTGCACACAGGTGAGCACCAACCCTGAGCCCCTGTGGCACGACCAAGAGTCGTGGGTTACTTCTGATCACTTGGAAAATCAGCTCTGTTGGTCTGCTGGGAAACACTAGGACCAGCCAGTGCTCTTGGGCAGAGCACTGAGGCCTTATGCTCAGTGGATACTATGTATGTAAGGTACAAAATCCTCATGTACACATTGGAAATCGGGGTACTCGTGCTCTCCTTGGCAGTTTTGGGGCTGGTACCACAACACCCTGTGGGGACCAAGCACAGCCTCAGTGGGCTCAGCTCAGCTTTGGCTGCTCCGCATCCCCTGGGCATCCCATGGCCACTTTGCACCCCTGCAATAGGGTTGGTGCCCTCCTAGTTTGTCAGTGGCCTGGGGAGGTCTGCAGATGCATCATCTTTTCCCAGCCCTTTTTGGTGCTGAAGGCAGTCTGCTATGTTGCCATATATACTTGCCTGAAAGTTGAGCTTCTCAGGCTATAATACCTTTCTGGGAATAGAAACGTAGCATTTCACTGGGGCTCAGGGGAGAGAGAAGCAGCTGCCCTTCTCTTCTCTGGTAATTGTGTGCTTTTGCTTTTTATGGCACTTTGAGAGCAGCAGTAGATATTGTAGATAGATACTGTAGGCAAGGGAGAGATTGATCCTGTGCAGTGTGGCTCTGCTCTTCCACATGTATGAATGCAGTGGGAGCTGGGGAGGGTGAGAGAGAGCGTGAGCACCGGTGCACTGCTAGTAGGAAATTGCAGTCTTTTCCTTTTAGTTGGGCAAAATTAAAGCAGTGATGCTGGCTGCAGGACCTTTCTCCTTCACTTTCACGTCTTGCTTCAACTCTGTGCTGATCTGAAAAAGAGCTGATTCCCACATCAGGGGCTGTGCTCCCACGCAGAGGTGTCCCCCTGGCTCTGCCTGGTGTTGGTGTCCAGCAGCTTTGTGCTGTGGCCATGGACCAATCTTTCTGCTCGTGTTTCCTCTTGCACAGGGCTCCTCTGGATGCCGGCAGCCTGTGCCACGGGGCCAGGGCTCCCTGGAGCAGGAGAGGAGGTGGAAGCAGTACCTGGAGGACGAGCGGATTGCGCTCTTCCTGCAGAACGAGGAGTTCATGAAGGAGCTGCAAAGGAACCGGGACTTCCTCCTTGCCCTGGAGAGAGGTGAGAAGCACCTTTAGGAACCTCTGTCTGCTTTTCAGGCGTGTGCCCCACTCTGGGACGCTGCTCCTGCTGCGGTGTGTCAACCTCATCCCCATCCGCTGCAGCTGGAAAACCACCACGTTTTGGCGGGCGCTCACTTCCTCCGCTGTGGGCTCCCACAGGGTGCCTGCGGTCGCTGTGTTGCAGCAGTGGTGGTGCTTGGGGGAGGCTGCCTGCTTGCTCCCACCGCTCCCAGCCGTGGTGTGGAGATGTTTGACATCCTTGGGGCGTGGCAGATCTTGTCCATTTGCTGCTGCAGGGACTGAGTGCAGTGGGCATGTACGGACAAGGAGCATGAAGCTGTGTGTGCTGCCTCGAGAGTCTTACAGGGCTTTTTGTTTTTTCAGATCGACTAAAATACGAGTCAAAAAAATCCAAGTCGACCAGTGCTGCTGTCAGCAATGATTTCTGTTTCTCCTCCATAATACCAGGTAATTTCAAGGTGCACAAGAGTATCTCCTGTCATCAGGGGAATGCTCCAAAGCTCCACCCAATGTGCCATGCCATGCTGTGCCGTGCCCTGTGATGTCTCTGCCTGGGGAGGAACCCAGCTGGTCCCTCCCTACTGCACAGAGCTCCTAAAAGCACATGGCAGTGGGGCAGACAGGTGACGGAGCTGGGTGCCTGTGCCCTCCCCATCCAGCCATGTCTTGGCTCTGTTCTTCCCCTGGGCCCAGTTCCCAGGGGTGACAAAGCCCTCTGTCTTGATGGGAGCAGAGGATTGTGTCTGGGAGACGTAATGACTGTTCCCAAGTAATCCTGATTAACCTCAGCAGTGAGGCAGCTGCCTGGGGACAGAATTAGCACTGGTAGCTGTCCATGTCCCTGAGCGGGACTGGGGTGGGCAAGATGCAGCCACTCAGCTGCAAGTTGGGGTCACTACCCCCAGGGTTTCTGCACCCCAGATCTCAGGGGGGTTTTGTCACCCAGAACCAGGTGTGGAGTGCTGTGCCCTTTTCCTGCTCACTGTTACTTAGCTCTGCCAGTGACCAGATGTGCTGATGGTGCCCAAATGTTTGCCTTCCAGGTGATGTAGCCACTCCTGGAACCAGCGAGGCTGGCAGTGCTGTGTCTGACGATGCCTTATTCAGAGACAAACTGAAACACATGGGAAAATGTGAGTTGGTTTCCAGGCTCCAGTCTGGCAGCAGGAAGCCCATGGTGGGCTAGAGGAGCGCGTGGATATTTTGTGGTGTGTGTTGATGATACAGATGGCGTTGGGAATCCCAGAAGAGGAAGCAGAGGAGTTTGCTATAGCTCTCCCTTTCCTCTTAAGCCTGCCACAGTTGCTTCTCCCATTGCAAAACAAACCCAAGTTCTTTGGGCGGCCTGACTCAGACTGCAGCTGGCCAAGACCCACTGGGGTGGCCTGGGGTAGACATGAGTAGGGAATACCACAAAAGTCCCAATGAAAGGATAGAAACACCAGCACCTCTGGCCTGGGGCCTCTTGTATCTCTGCTAGTGGCAGGACCTGGTTCTTGGTGCCCAGCACCACAGTGGCTGCTTCTGGCACCAGTGGCTCTTGCCCATAGCTGTCTCCTCCCCAGCACCCCTGGCAGCTCTTTGGGGAGTTTGTGGTGAGACCCTCACTGGCCTGTTTCCTTCCAGCAACGCGCAAGAAGCTGTTTGAACTCGCCAGAGCCTTCTCTGAGAAGACAAAGATGAGGAAGTCAAAAAGAAAACACTTGTTGAAGCACCAGGTGTATCCTAAAAGGGCCTTGTTGTCATTTGCCCCTGGTAGCTGGGACTGCTGGGGGAATGCGGGTGGTCCTGGGGACTCTGTGAGGCTGCAGTTTGGAGAGGAGCATCCCCAGGTGCCCCCACATCTGTGGGCTGTGAGGAGCGGTTTTGGTGCTATGACCATGCCCTGGTTTTCCTTAGCAGAGCATGCAGGCTGGGGACAGCTGCATCCACAGCAAATCTTCTTGATGACGTCGAAGGACACTCGTGCGGTAAGAAAGGCTCTGATTGCTGAGTGCTGCCACTCTGTGCTGTGCCATCCTGAGTTGTGCTGTGTTGTGCCGTGCCATGCCATACTGTGCCACCTTGCTGGTATGGGCCTGGCGTCACATGTGGGGTAATTGCAGACCCTGACTCGTCTGCCTCTTCCTTTCAGATGAAGATTTTCAAGCACGGCGGCAGCAGCTCCGGGAAGAGGAGGAGACGCTGAAGGAAGGGCAGTAAATGGTGAGGGCTGTGGTGCTGTGGCTGGTGACAGCTCCAGCGCCGTGATGGGACAGTGCTGGCCGTGGTGCAGCTGAGGCTGAGCACACACTGTTCTTCCTCCTCCTGGTCTCCTCCCCTCCAGGTCCCAGCGCTGGGGTTTATTGCTGGCACAGAATGTGCAAAGGGCTTAATAAGAAGATGGCTGAAAAAAGGAAAACAAACAAACACCCAACGACAAATAACCCCATTTTTTGGCTGTTCCCCCTCTGCTGTTGTACTCCTCTGAAGTACAAACGTTGAAGTGAGGCAGTTTTCTTTTCAGAGGTTTGAAAACAACTTCTCCTATCTAGCAAATCAGCCAAAAAAAAAAAAGGAAAGGAAACAGCTGGCAGCTGGTGTGAGCTGTGGCATTGGAGCTGGTGGGTCTGGGACTCAGGGAGGAGCCGTCCCTCCTGCGTGTGGGATCCACAGAGTTCTGCCAGAAGAATGCACATGAGCTGTGCTGAGGGGATGCCCCGGCTGCGGGAGCTGCCTGGCAGAGCATCCCTGTGCATATCTGTGGTGATCTGATGTAATTTTCCTCTGCGCACGCAGGAAAAGAAAACACAAGAAAGAAGCTAAAAACTGTCGTCTACTATTGCTAGGAGTAATAAGCAGAGATTCAGATCAGGTAATAGTGAAATAATATAAGTTGTTTATAAAAGGAAAGGCCTTCTTTTCCAAGGCATTTCCCTTTGCATTAAACCTTTGCCTTTGGCATCGCTCAAACTGCCTTGAAGTCGGACCCTCACTGCCTTGCTCCCTGTGGGGCAGCACCAAGGGCTGGATCTGCACTGGTGCAGCGGCCGAGCCAGGACATATCCTGTTGGGTGCAGTGCTCCAGTAGTGTTTCTGGGGCCGAGCAGGGACATCCCTTGCCATTGATGAGGTGGAGATTTGGGGTTTGCAGCTGGGGCTGGCGGAGATGTTTTTGATACAATGAGCCGGTGTGGGGCAGGAGAAGCTCTCCAAGCCTTGGGGATCGTTTTTCCAGGAGAGCGCAGGGGCAGCTGGGAAGCAGCGCTTGGATCTCTGCAGCATCCTGAGATGCTGTCAGGCTAAAAATAATTACGTAAACAAATTCCTTCCTTGTGTAAGTAACGAGTGACGAGCACTAAGTCAGAATTCGATCCCGCCAGCACATTTTCTTCTTCTTGATCAGCATAATCTGTTTACTGCTCAGTCAGGAGGTGGCTGCAGACATGCCTGTTCTGCTTTCTGGCTCCTGTGAACCAGCACAAATGTTTTAAGATTTGTGCTGCGAAGGTGGCAGATGCAGAATCTCATCCACCAGACACGCACGCAACTGCTGTCCCTGCCTCTCTGTGGGATTGCTAACAAAGCCCACATTGCTCTGGCTCCTGGCGGGCTCCTCCCAAATCCTCCCTGCATCCCCTTTGAAGTGGATGCCAACGTTTTTCCCCACAGCCACAGTGCACCTGTTGAGTGCTGCCACAGGGCTGAGTGAGGCAGGGACACCACCTGCCATCAGTGCTGCCGTGGGCTGCTTGCACCACGGTTGGAGCTCCTTGAAGGAGCTGCCCTCAAGTCTGAGCCCAACTTTGATCCTGCTCCTTTTTAAGGAAGGGGCAATGGTGTCCCCTTTGAAGTGGGGGCTGCAGCAGTGCCACACTGAACTGGCCTAATCCCCAAGGTGACTTTAGGTGGTGGGAACGGGGTGCAGGGAGGTACTGGGGAGGCACTGCTACTCTGTGTAGCGTCAGGATCTGGAGAGGTGCGTGTCCCATGTGGCACAGGGCAAAGCATGAAGCTGCGGCTTTGCTGCTGGAGCAGGAGCTGGGGGCTGCTATCCCCAGCCTGAGGCTGGCTCTCAGATAGCGGGAGGACACCGCTGCTCCCTCCCACCCCAAAGCAATGCTGTGTAGTTGGAAAAAAAGCTTGGAATTGGATCAGCTTGTAAACGTTCCAGTGCTTTTGAGCTACCAAGGGCTTAACTCGCAGCAAAGTTTTCATGCATGCAGGAAGCACAGACAGGCGGTGCAGCGGGGCTCCTGTGGGCTGTGAGCTGCTGTCCCAGTGGCTGTGGCTGCTTTGGGGTCGGGGAATGTGCTCCTAACAACGTGCCCTGTGCTGCACAGCTCTGAGTGATGTCACTCTGCGGCCATTTTAAAATACCTTGGAGGCACAAAACATCGTTTCAATGGACGATGAAGAGTGGCTATTTTTATCTCCTTTAAAAAGACAGTGAATCAGGTCTAATGAGCAGAAAGGCCCCTACAACCAGCTCGGGAGCCAAAATGCATTTCTTGCATAAAGCTGTACGATTCTCAGTGACGTTTCTATCACTTCTATATGAAATGTTTTAAAAAGAACAACAACAAAAAAGAAGTCTGTGGCGTGTGTGTGTTGCTCTTTTAGAATTTCCATAAGTGATTTTTTTTTTCTTAAAAATGTTTAATAGTAATTCATATAATAAAGTCCTGTTGTACTCTTTAACACTGCAGCATTTTGCTTTTAGCTGCTGTTATTTTACACGGGGAGAAAAGAAGAAATCAGGGCGGAGAGGGGCCTGCGCTGTCCTGGAACAGCTGCAACACTTCTTGAATTCTGCTCTCTGTGAGCAGGAGTTTTGTTTCAGAACTGTGTTTTTAAAAAAACTGTGCCCAGGAGAAGCCTAGAACTAAAAACTGTGGTAGAATCACGGTGATGCTGGAGGTGCTTCAGGGCAGCGCCTCCGTGCACGCGTTCTAGGAGCGTAGCGGGGTAACAGCTGCTCCTAGGACCCATTTCAGGACTTTCAGTCCCGGCTCTGGGTCAGCAGCGCTGGCCCTTTAAATGGCGGAGGGGCCGATCCGCAGCTCGGCTATCGGCTGCCTCTGTCTGCGCGCCACCTCCCGCCCACAGTACGCCCTGGCAGCAGACTGGTCGGCGGCCCAACGGGACAGCGTTTCCGCTTCCGGGTGGTGGGGCAGCTCGTTGCTAGGGTGGCACTGTTGCTAGGGGAGGCCTAGGCCGCCGCCATGGCGGGGAACCGCATGCAGAAGACCGGGAGCGTGTTCAGCCGGTAATGGGGGGCGTCGGGAGGGCGAGCGTGGTGGACGTGGGCTGCGGGGGTGGGCGCTGAGCCGTGGCTGCCGCCTGCAGGACCCGCAATTTGCTGCGCATCGGCGTCATCGAGAAGCCGCTGTGGTTCGACGTGTACGCCGCCTTCCCTCCGCTCCGCGAGCCGCTGTACCGCGTGCCCCGGCCGCGCTACGGCAAGGTGACGGACGTCGTGCCGCCCATCCTCTACCGGGAGGACGAAGTGCGAGCGTGAGTCCCCGCCCGGGGCCGGAACCGCCCGCTTTGGGGCCGCGCGACCCTTCGGTGTGCGTGTGGCTGTGCCGCTGCGGGGCGCTGCGGGAGCGTCGCTGCCCTGCCGTCTCCTGGCTGCTGCGGGGCCGCTACTGCGTGGCCGTGCCGTGGGGGAGCCGCACGGCGTTGTGCGTTCGCAGGGGCGGCCGGGCACCGGGCCGGGTGAAAGCTCGGCTGCCACGGAAGGCGGAACGGCCTTAAGGCGCCGCGCGTGGCCTGAGCAAAGCCCCTGGGGGGGGGGGGTAAGCTAGCAGGAGCTCGGCGCTGCGGCTGAATGCTGAGTGTGCTGGGTAATGCCCAATGGTAAAAGAAGTGACGGTCTCGTGAAGGCCTCTTGTAGCCTGGCTCTGATCGTGTTCATTTCCTTCTAAACGTGTCTCTTTTTAATTGCTTTAAACACTGGTTTTTGGTTTTAAATAGGAAATTTTATAAAATATATGGCAGCGGTCCCAAACCCTTTGATTTATCACAACCGAGGTACAAATCTACTTGCCAAAGGTAAGAGTTTTAGTTTTTTAAATTAAACTACAAATATTTCTGGAACTCGTCCCTGTCTCCCCTTGGGTCAGCAAACCAAAATGGTTTTAGTGAGAGTGAAAGTACAATCTTGAAATCTAGGTTTGTTGAGAAATATAATGAATTGAAAGAAGAAGGAAAAATCGAAGAGGAAAACCTGTTTGAAGAAACAGGAAAAGCCCTTTTAGCCAGTGGGATAATTCTACAGAGACGAGGAACAGATAAAGTAAGCCAAACTCAGTTGTTTTCTGTTGTCATATGCCCTTCGTTTTCCTCATTATCCAGTCATCCTCGGTCTAAGCATCCACAGAGCTTTTTCTATAAAAGAGGCTGAAAAGGAGCAGAAATTGGTTCTAGTTAAAGTGTGATGTCCTATGAGCGTGTAGGAAGATGAGATCAGTACCTGTCTTTTATCTTTTTTCTTGAGGTCAGCAATCTCATTTTGAGTTTCTTTCTTCTTGGTGGTGCTTTGAGACTGTGTTGTACCTTTATAATAATCTAAGCATGAATCACAACTTGTCTCTCAGCTTTTCTGGGCAAGCAAACTGGCAGTTGCTTTCTGTTGCTCTCTTCAGTCATGCTTTGACAAACTTTTTCAGCCCTGTTTTATTATTGTGATCATCTGTCATTAACTGTAGGTAGCACAGCAGGATCATCAGGATGCGGAAGCCAGGGATTCTGTGCTACGTCTGCAACTTCAAACCGTGCTGGAAGAGTTGCAGGAGAAGAAGGAAAGTCAGGAGGAGCAGACAGCAGAACTGAGAGAAACGCAGAAGGAAAATCCTTCATCCTAACAGCTGTGCTCTTGGCACATCCTGCAGCTTGGTGTTGTGTGCCCATGCTGCTCGCCTGCTCAGGAGCCAGCGTTTCCATCTGCACAGCTCTAAGAAATATTCTGAAGGAGGCTATGGCTCAGTCTTCTGGCTGTGGTGCCTCCCTGCCATGGTGTGTGTGACACACGTTCTTGTCTTTCAGTCTCCCCACTTAGGAAGCAGGAGATGATCCTCTTTTAAGGAACATTGCCTTGACATTTTCAATTGTGTTGTCTCAGCTTTTGAGATGGAAAATAGAATGGAAAATTAAACACTTCCTGCAAAATGGGAACCTGTGTCTTATTTGCAGTAGCACTGTCTGGCACTGATGGTACAGGCGTTGTGACAGTCCTGCTGTTGAAATGGCAGATGCTGTTTACTTGATGCATTGTAACAGCTGTCAGAAGTGTCATCTTTTTATAGCTGATTCCGAAGAGTTGCTATTTATATGGATGTTCTAATATGTTCTTTCTGCTTCGTCACTTGCTTGCATTCCTGTTAGGATGAAACACCACAGATAATTTAGATCTTTGAAGTTTTTTAGCAAGTCTTTATGAAATTGGTCACCTTGGAAATGTGGAACATGCACCACTGCAACTCTTTGCTGAAGTGGAAGTTGAATTGTTTTACAGAAAGTCACTGAAACTTTGGCACAGAAAAGGAAGTAGTAATCTCACCCAGCTTAGAGCTGACTATAATTCCATTCTTCTAGTGTCTGTAAACTTAATTGCCCACCTTGTTTTTATTAAGAATTTTGGTTTTAGGCCAAAGGAAAAGGAACAACAACAAGAAAACCGCTGTGTTTTAAGTCACGTCAGGAAAATCTCTCTTCCCACTTCTGACTCCTCCCCCAAACAGGAGAAGGTCAGGATTTCCTTTTGGTTTTGTACCTGCCTTCTAGGACCCGTTCTCCTGAAGGTGTGGTTTTGTGACCCTGGTGCTGCGTGTAATTCAAGCAAACACTTATGAATATGTACTGAGTAGAGGTAAAAGGGATGGTTGAAAAATGTTCCTTTCTTTTTTCTTGTTTCTTTCTCCTTTTTGAATGGCACGATTTGCCTCCTGGTAGCAATGCCGTTACAGCAGAACA